GGCAGGGGGGTTGGAAGATGTACATATGCTGGTGAGATAGGCACCCACTGGGAGCTTGTTGCAACTCTGCATGGTTAGGTACCTCTCAATATTTGATTCCTACCTACATGTTGAATCATAGAATGATTCAAGGCAGGGATATCCTTCCCATGGCAGGGGGGTTGGAACTAGATGTACATAGTTTGGTCAGGCCCCTTTAAATATAGCTATTAGATCTACTGCTCATCAGTTTTGAAAACATTAGCTTTAAGAAATTTATCATTTGAAGGCTGCAAACTAGGCTTGCAGTCTTCCTTCCAAAATTCAAGGGATGTTATCTCTTTTCAATGAATCATACTGGGGAAAACCCCTCCTAACTAATGTATGTATTTTCGTTTCCTGCACTACATTTCTTCAATCATCTTATCAGTACATTTTTCGTCAGGGTTATGAAGGGAACCTTGCATCTTTGTCAAAACTGATCTGCTAGCAGAAATATTATGAGGCCACCTATGATCCTGCAGCAAGAGCCAAGAAAAGGACACAGAGGCAAATACTTCTAAAAGAATTATTCAGCAAAAAAATGTGTGTGCATACCATATTTGAGTGTTCAAAGATGTGCTCCGGAAGCATAATATAGTTGAGGAGTCAGGCATTTTGTAAGGTGGTTACCCCACGTCAAAGAGCAAAGATATTTAGTCTCCCATTAAAAAACACGGAACAACAACAACAAAAAAAACAACCAAAAACCCCAGCTCCTCCTCCAGCAAAACCTCTGCTTATCTGGAGCCCAAAAGGAATCTGCAGATGCATACCCCCTGCATGAGAACAAAGTCTTCAGTCACTGGAATGCAGTGCTATAAAAACAAATACTACAAAGCCTGGTAACAGGGGGATGTCTCACTTGCATATTTTTTTGTGACCATCCTGGTTTGCAGAGAAGGGGGTCCCCAAAGCATGTGAGCCAGCAGGATCTCTTTGTACTAGGTTGCTGTCTGTTTGGCCAGATGTCTTCCCAACAGTGAGACAGAAAAACCAGAGCTCTTATTAAAATAAGTTGGGGAAAGGAATGGAAAAAAGCATGTGTCCAGCAAAACAAGGCACATTCTGTCCCATCTGATATTTATTAAACGTTGATCAAATCAGCAGTGAGAAATGCATATCATGCGGAAGTGACCCTGGCTCCCTGGGTTTGGAAGTTAGTGACCAATGTCTGGGAGCAGACCAACATTGAAAACACGTGTACAGGACACAGAAAGGGGTGTGCTGCACTAGGAGCAACAATAACAAACAGAGAAGAGCTGACTTCAGCAGAGAACCCCCTCTTGCAGGTTTTACGTATGTTCTATCAACGGAATGGGTGTGTAGGGTCTTTCCCTGTACATTTACTCTACAGCTTTCTAGGTAAGAGGTTACACATCTCCTGGAAGAACACTGCATTTTGTGTAAGCCATGAAAGCAAGCAGTTGAGTGGGTAAAAGTGGGGAAGTTTCGTCAAATTAAAGCCCAAGCAAGGGCTCTTTCAAGCCTTGACTCTCAGCTTTTGTGATAAACCTGTATAATTTTATGCCAACCTGCTGGGTTTTGTGTAATCACAATGAGCATTTGAAATAGTCTCCCATCTGTGTTTGCTTAATGTTTTGGCTATCACGTCTTTTCAGAGCAACACTTCAATAAAAATAAGTGTCCTCACAGCGCGGACTAAATGCGTCTCCCGTATCAGAACAAGCTTATTTGGGCTTGGTCCTTAAACAGGGTAGTGGGGAAGAGCAACAGGGCAAGTTGAAGCCAGGGTCCGTGCTTGGGGAGGTTATGGAGCCCTGATTACACTGTAATTCATCCCTATACAGAGAGGGTTGCATTCCTGGCTTTTACCTTTGCTCATAGCCTGGATTATTTAACTGCACAAAAAGACATTAGAATGAGTCTTCCAGATCTTTCCTTCAAGGTACCTCTATCTTTAGTAATTTTTATATGGTTAGTAAACTAGAAAGTCAGCTGTTACTAGCAACAGAGTTAAGAGCTATGTATTTGCAATAAAGAGTAAATTTAATAGCTCTGACAGACTTTACTGTGTCCATCTCTAGGCAAAGGAAAACAAAGGATCCTGTTAGAGCTCCGTGGCTTTTTACTCAGCCCTGGACCTGGGGCACGTTAGATGAGGGTAGCGGGGGTTCGATGGCAGTCAGACGCAGTTTTAAGCTGACAGGCAGAAAGCCCCAGTAGGCAATGCAATACACAGTTCCAGCCCAGCTTAGTTAATGGAATCACTGCTGCCTGTATGATCGCTTTAGTACGCTGTGTTTATGTTATTGATACCAACAGTGCTGGACTGTTAAAGGATGGAAAGGTCTGGCTTTTGTTGGGGTGCTGTTCTGATGTCAGTTTGAAATATGCTGAAAGTAAAAGTTCTGAAAAGCCAAAGTGCTGTTTTATTGAACCAGCGATAGAGAGGACTGAGAGAAGTGAAACAAGATCCTTATGAAGCACTGGAACATACATGATGCTAGATGCTGAACTGCAATACATCCAGTGACATCAGCAAAGTTTCAGGTCATTACACTACACAGGAAGCCGGAGCACGGTGACAGAAAGCAGGTCATGTCATAAAATGAGTAATCTTAATATGAGACTGTAATCAAGTGAAACTTTTCTATGTGCAGTTGCTGTCAAAGGTTTTGTTTTTATTTCTGTCTTTCTCTGTGCTTTGTACCTCTGCAGTCTATCAGTCTTCCCAGTTATGGATCTGGTCCTGCTTCCATTAACATTAAAATAGGGAAGATCAAGCTTTCTGTTATCTGTGTATTTAGAAGGTGAATGTGATGTGCTTTGTGCCCCAAGCTTCTCGTGTTTTTTGATATGTAGGATGTTCAAAGACTTACAGGATTGGAATCTGAATTTTAAACCCTTTGGAGGAGGAACCTTGCATTCAGCGCACAGGGGCTCAATGAGCCCATTAGTAGCAGCTAACAGCAGCAAAATGGTGCTCCAGACACCACAAGTTTCCACTGTGAAATAATTTCAGTCTCTGAATATCTACTGCAAACCCTTAGAAAACTGCACTTTCCTCTCCAGCTTTTTCAGTAAGCAGAGCTTCCCCACTAGCAAACTCCTTGAGATTGTCAACCAAACAAAGAAAACCAGCCCACACATCAGGATCCATAAGCAAACCTGGCTATTGAATTATGGACCCTTCACCTTTTCTTTTGTGGTGCAGGAATTATCAGCCTCCCAAATCCAAGTCACCAATAAATGGGCTATGCAACTGCCCATCTCTGTGCCAGCTCCCTTCCTTCCCACCTGCACAGGCAGGAGAGAAGCCTTTCCCCTCTGGAGTTTCTGTTCTTGGGTTTATGCTTACAAGTCCTTGTCTCATTTTCCCCTAATGGTCCTGTTCCTGAAAAAAGAACCAGATTCCCAACTGATCTTATGCCTAAACCCCAAGGAACTCAAATCTATGACATCGCTTTCATCACATGGCAACAGAATGTGACGTCACAGCTGAAAAGTTTAGAAAAAACATGTGATGACATAATGTGGAAAGTGGGCTGACCTGTGAGAGATGCATTTCTGCCTTAGCCACGGCTAGTATATGTGCAGAGGGAATTGAGAAAAATGCCTTGTCAAATAAACTTTGTATAAATCCTCTTCCTGAGTTGCTCCAGTATGGTAATCCCTCCTTCAAGTACCCTGGGCTTAAGGAAGTCACTGGAAACTGCTGTTCTTTGAGAAAGAAATACAGTTGACTTAACTTGATATGTCAGTCACCCATCCACTGCGAACCCAGGGGAAACGGTCCGTGCTTTTCTCTTAAAAAATGAAAAATAAAAAAACGCTCTGCAGAAGGTCATGAGTTGGGAAAAGTAAAATCAGCTGTGGGTTAGGCCTCAGGGGAAATATAAGCTACTCATAAAAAGCTACAGAGCAAGTTTTGATTAGTTAAGTAATCTAGTACATAGAATTTATTAGAGCTTAAAGCTTTCCTGTGGGATTCCCCTAATAGTACACAAATAGAGTAAAATATCAAAGAAAGAAGTGCATTTTCTGACAGACACAGAAAGCTACGTTAATCCTGGCCTGCTTAATGCACATCGGAAGGAGGGATAAATCCTGCCCATTCGTTCCAGCACAGTGGTCCAGTTTTCATGTTTTTACATGTTTGTGTTTCTGATTAATTTCTTGGTAACTTAATCAACACTTCCAACACTCTCGAGCTGTTCCTGAGGAGCACGTAGAGAAAAGAGGAATATTGCTTCCCTAACAGACTCAAAGATAGCAAAACATTCTGCAAAAAGCTCAAATATAAAATAGTAAAGGCCTGTTTTCTCTCATTAACTTGAGGCCCTTTTTCCTAAACTTGTCCACAAGGAGAAATTCACCAGCATTTTTCTGTTGGTATAGATGTACCGCTAGCTTTACCAGTATAGCACCCTTTCTTTTCTGTGGAAATAGTATTCTCCAAACCCCCCCAAAATAAGAAAAAAAGTCTCATTATGGAAAGAAAGTGTTCACATGGTAACCATTTGTGGTAATGGTTACAAAGCAGGACCGGTACTCCTACCAGGTTTTCACAATGCTATTTTATTTCTGTATTTTCCTTCTGCCGGAGCATTTACTGTCTCCTATTGCCCCTGTAGGGAGACTGAATGCTAAGAAAGAGCTGCTGCAGTGTGATGCCTGACAAAGGAGATGCTAATAAACATTTGACTTCCAAAGCTCACCATAGTCCTGTTAGCACAGTCGGAAAATAGTCCTGTCTTTCAGGAAAGCCACAGGTTTTCCAGCGAAGCAGAACCTACTTCTCTTCCAGATGCTAAAATCCCAAAGTGATTCTATCACTAAGCTGATGCTTTAACCACCATGGAGGCTTATCCTGGCAGAATAGGCAAATAAGCACCCATATATCATCTGCTTACATAAATAATTTGTTCTTTAGAAAATGGAGGAGAGGAAATGGGGAGCTAAAACCAGCAACGTGTTCTTTGCCGTTGTTTTAAATTTCTTAAAATCTTCTTTTGCAGGTATTCAGGAGGGGACTCAATGTACCAAATGTAAAAATAACTGGGCACTGAAGTTTTCCATCATCTTATTATATATTTTATGTGCCCTGTTAACAATCACAGTAGCCATTCTGGGATACAAAGGTATGTATGCATCAAGCCCAACATTTCACTTTCAGCCAAGCATCCAAGCGCATTTCCACATATTAGATAGACAGGCAATTTATCACATTTCACCTTAAATATCAATACCTTGGCAATGTTGGCTTTTTGTACACAAATAACAAGAAACTGCAACCTTAGATTTTCACTTTCAAACAATTACGAAGTTTTGAAACTGTATTAGACATTTGAAAGAAAAGAAAAAAGTTAGAACAAAATGATCATTCTTCCATCACGAAGGAGTACTAACTGGAAGACTCAAAGCTCTGTAACATGTGCTGTACCTTGATTTCACTGAGCTCTTCTACATATATCGCACCTTTCGAGAATAAATGTCCTTCTTAATGGGAGAGCCAGGAATATCTTAGTAATATAATATTTATCACAGGATCAAAATGTAAGATCAATATTACTTTGAAATATCTGGAAGAAAGGTTGAACCAGGAGGTGCCAATGTATTGAGTTATCTACAATTATTTTGATGAACAAAGATGTTTAGATGCTTTTGACAGTAATTTCAAAGATTCTGGTAGTTGGGTAACCCAGTAATGGAGAAAATTTCATTTGTGCAAGTCATTGGTAGGGCACGTTGGAAAGCACGACTTAAAGTTCCCATACGTCCTCAGCACTAATTAACTGTAGCCACTTAAGAATTCTTATGAATGTACTGATGTAAATGTCTGCTTGTTGTGCAATCACAGCTGTAAGTTAAATAAATAAGACGTGAGTTTCCGGTAAGAAAAAGAAAGTGAGTAACGTCATTGTGAGTATTATAACAGGGCGTTGCAGCGCGTTGCAGCATGTTGCGGAGAAAACCAAGCTAGCTTTAAACTAGCTGCTTGAGATGGCTCTGAGAGTAGCTTCAAAACCCCTCCAAGAAGCTGGGTAAATATTCATGTGATTAGCATGCAGTGCGTCCCGTGCCGCCAACAGCTGCGCTCGTAGCAGAGCTGACATCACCTCTGGTCCTTTGCCAGCGAAAGAAAAGGAAATTGTAGAAATAGAAAGGGATAAATACTTATTTAAGAGGATTTGGTACAGTTTTGAGTGGGAAGAAAATTAAAACTGCTTGGTTTAGATGGAAGATTTAGCCAGGGAGATGAGAGAATGTGAAGGACAGATAGAGACACGTAGGTATTCCTTTTTCATGATAAAGCAGATGGAATTTTCATGATAAAGCAGACGGAATGTGGCAAATTAAAATCAAATGTAAAGAAATGCAGTACATATATAATTGGTCAGACATTCTCCTGAAGAATGTGTAACTGGTCTCTGGAAGTCAGATTCTGAGGAAAAAAAAACTTTCCAGGATTCAAAAACTTGTTCTTGATCTATAAAGATAAGATCATTTGGTTATATGGACTAGGGGAGGACAAACTTAGGCCTTCTGCAGATATAAATCTGCAGAGATCTGCTTACAGCAGATGAGGATGGAATCCATCCTATAACCCAGCCACTAAACGCCTGGGATTTAACAGAATTTTCCTCAAGAGAGTTTTATACAAGGCTGTCAGTTCTGGGGCTCACCAGAAGACTCAGACCTCACTTGGCATCAGAAACAGCTTATCAAGTTGGAAGGACCGTTGCTCTATGTCTTGCTTTGGCAAACATTTGTTTGTGTGTGTGTGTAGGAAGCAATAGCAATAAGGAAACTGTCCAAAAGGTCTCTTTGGGAGAGGGAGTTTCTCTTCCTTATTTCAATTCACAGTTTTCAAGCTTCTTTCTCCATGGGGGCTCTAGCACCATCTTTTCCCCAGGCTTTGCTCTCATCTTGAGTCCCCAACTTTGCTACACTCATTTCTAAACCTCCTTTTTGTACTGAGTAGTCATTGGTACCTGCCTGGGGACTTGTCTTTCTGTCATAGCAGTACCAAGCCACCGCTATCCAGGGCAAGGACAAAAGAATCTCCTCTCCCACAAAAAAATGGGAAAAAGATTATAGGAAGGTGGATAATGCACATCTTGCTCACAGACCTTAAGACATCTTGGTGACCACTGCTCCACCGCTCACCCAACTTGGTGACTGCTCCACCTGAATGCCAAGGGAAAGAGGCATACACTGGAGAAAAGTCCTGTTTAGTCCAAGGTATCCCTTCTGTAACGCCAAGCAGCAAATGGTCATATGTCAGGCATTAATTTCGCCCTTTGTACCTGCAGCTTAAGAGCTTTGTCTCCACAGTGCCTAAGCACTCATTTGCAGGGAACACGAGTTAGACAAAACCCCAGCTGACGGTACATATTCAAAGGAATTATTGCAATACTTTTGATCGTTGGGAAGGAATTAGGCCTTAAAGGAAGAACAAAACTCAAAGTAAAATTTTACAGAGCTCTTGAACTCCCCTCTCTGCATCAGAGTCTGGCTTGTCTTTTTTATTGCAATATTACACTGAAAGAAGGAATTCTGCTGGCATCAGGGATTCTTTCAGTCTCTTAGCTAAGTTTCCATTAAATTTGCCTCCCACATTTATGTTTATAAAGCCCAAAACTACTTTTAAAACTTTCATTTCCTACATAGTATTTAGATATCCTTTGTGATTTAAAACGTTAAAACTACTAATCAGTGGATTAAATATGGCAGGCAAAAAAATAACTCAATGGGAGGCAAAGTCAACATAGAACAAACCTCCAAACTAGTGGTAAAAATTACATAGTAGGTTGGAGAAACCTGAAACCAAAACATGAATTAAACATCAAGGTCATTAAGGAATAACAAGGCGAGTGTACTATTAGTTTGCTTTGAGAAGACAAATTATTGTTAAAAACATTAATAAAGCAATCTGTAATTTTTTACTCATACTTTCTTAAATTAAATGCAAAATACAAAGTTATAATTTTTCTGGCACCGGCCAGTGTTGGATTAGCCTATTGAAGGTGAATGATCTTCCTGTGACTCACTCCAGTGAGGGAAGCTAGCATGCTCTCAGCTTGAATTTCTGGTAGTTCTCATTCTCTGGTCAGTCCTTGTTTTTAAGTTTCTTGACCAATGCCCACCGTGACTTTCATCTACTTCTTTTATCTGTGTCCCAGACAGAGCTTGCCTGCCATTATCTAGGGCCAACACACCCTGGTGAGATGGCACATTTTGTCCCTGCTTCTGAAATAGTGGCCGAGATGCAGACAGTCCTCACTGTTCCGGTCAGCAACTACTTGGATTTTGGCTTCTTTTCGAGGGTCTTTACCACATTTTCCACAGTGACCTCATCAGAAAGTGAGATGACAATGTATAGAGGTCTGACCAAGCTGAGAATTAAGGTGAAGCTATCCAATCGCAAGCTTAAGGCGTAGACAGACTTTGCATTGTTGAGAGCAGCAGACTGTTGGGAGCAGCAGAGTGGCCTTCATAAGGGATGTTAACCACTGGTCTGTCTGGTTTGCCTTTGCCTTTTTCTGGAGAAGATGGGAAGTGGCTGTTCAAGCCCAGGGCGCTCCCCAGAGGTTGACTTCCACTCCTGAGAGTGCTCTACATGCTCACCTACCACTGAAGGCTCCATCCAGAGATGGTGGTGGGAGCTACTGCCAGGGAAGGAAAGGCATTCCCAATAATAGGACATCTGTCCATATGACCCCTTTTGACAGCAAAAGCAACAAAACCTACTTTGGCCACGGTTCTTTGCTAGTTCTCCCCAGAGTTCATCCTTTTCACTTGCAGGGCAGTAGCAAGAAAGTCAGTAAGCTACAACTTGCTTGGGGAAGGAGTTTGGGCAGGGGATCAAGTCCCCCAGGCCCACAATTTGTTTCACCATGGAGGCTAAGATCCTGCCCCCACACAAAGCAAATATATGCATTGGTTTGTCTATGGGATGACAAAATTCAGCTTAGCCTGCATCACTGGGAATCCTTCAGTTAACCCTGCAGTTCACGTTTGCAGAGACCTCTAGTGTTGCTGCTTCTGGAGCTGGGTGGTTTGAACTTGGCTCTGGCCTCTCTCCTCTACACATCACACGACAGGACTGACTTGCCCTCTAAGGGCAAACAGAATTAAAATAAAGGAAATGGTTTGCCTGATATAGCTAATTCTGCACTTCGCATCAGTTAATCTGGGTAAGTCATCACCAGTTTAGTGCCAAATAGACAAAAATCAATACCTTGTGTATTTGAAAGCATCCTTCTCTTTCCAGCCTCTCTCAACCAGCATCTTCCAGCTAAGTGTTGTGTCAGCCCTCCCGATCCAGGGCTGCTGTCTGGCATCCAGTTACACGCTAGAATTAAAAGCTATTACTTTCTGTAGGAGACAAGCTGCTGGGGACTGAAAGACCTTTTAACAGTGCTCATTAGTGATCTTTCAGACACAGTCCAGGCACGGTCTTCCACACATATCATGGCCAATTGTCAATAATACCAGTAAGGCTTCTGATTGAAGTCCTGCTTCAACAAATTTTTGGGGTCTTCCTTACAAAGGATGTCCATAGCTACAGACCAGCTTCGGTCTTTTTAGTGTGGGGTGGGTTTTTTTTTTTACTTTTGGCAATGAAAATACCATACGCTGTTGTATCTTTAATTCCATCCAATCTCATCTAACTGCCAGTACAGGCTACTACATATTGATAGGATTTCTACTATTTTCATTGGCTTTGGACTCTTCAGGGGAATATTTTAACCCAAGTTTCCAGTATTGGATTTCATTCAACCATGAAAACATTCTTGTTGTTATAGGGCAGTATAAAATCTCAGTTTTACAAACTACAGATCTGAAGTACAAACTAGCATTCATTTGAACAGCAAAACGAAGAAACTACATTTTCCTTTCATTATTGATAATATATATTCATTTGCTGACTCCAAGTGTATTGCATAACTGGAGGAAACAGGTGAATATTACACTAAATCAGAATTAACAAGACCCATAGGTGATGTGACATTGCTAGTCAAGGCACAGGTCCAGCAGAAACACTTGGAGTAGGCCTACTTTTTAAATCCAGATGCTTTCATGAGGTCCTCTCTAAGTGCCCGGAGTGAGCCACGTCCTTCACAGTGACTATCCATAAACAAAGCAGAACACCACAGACTGAACAAGGAGCTGCCTAGAGCTAGCCAGAAGGAAAATCCAAGTATGGTCCCCACACTCACTGCATGTGATGCATAGGTTTATACATGCATCAGCGGAGTGTCAGAAGTAACTGAAGGACCTTTGCTGATCTGGGCTTCAGCCTGGAAGACAGTTGGGCAGGACAAACAGAGAATCAACTCTGGCTTCATTTAGGAAAAATGGCATACAGCATTTTGACAAGTAACTTTAATGGGCAGAAGAACCGGTGAAAAATTAGTGCTGTACTGGGGGGAAAAATGCTTTCTAAAGCAGAAGGTATTGAGCAATGGTCCCCCTGAAAAAGCAAAGCCATTATTGTAGCCTGGATCTGGTGTTTAGCGAGCAATCTGCCATCATCTCAAATACAGAAAGCCACACTCTGACTCTATCTTTGCACACACAGTAGAGTCTCTGTTGTACTGGCTCGTTAGCAGTATAGAAAGGAACAGGCAGGTAATTCACCAAAGGGTGTCTGGTCTCTCTGAAAACCTTGAGACTTTTTCTCTGTTGTAACTCCATTCACCTCAGTGCAGTTGCACCAGAGATAATCTTGGTCTGCTTTTTCTCCTGTTGGTTTTGGGGAAGCAATAAAAGCCTGCTGTGTAACTGTGGTACCCAGAGTCAGAAAAACAAGGGCAAAAGTTAATAAAGAAGGAGTACTTGGTGGACTACACTTTAAAGGTCTAGGATTCTTGTGGTTGCTCATGAGCAGCAAAAGATCCCCTAAATTTCCGCTTCTAGTAAAAAACCCCAAATCTTTACATAGCAACAAGTTCTATTTCCTAGCTGCAGATTATGTTACAGACAGAAAGAGTTAGCAGTACCCCCTGCCCCACACAGGTTTACAGAATGGGCTTCGCTATCTCAAGACATGGGAAGCACCTTATTTCTTCTGTTTGAAAGAGGGAGCTGGCACAATAACTCGTGTAGCCTCTCCCACGGTTGGTTCAGATCCATTCTGCTCCCAGTGTAGCAAAAGGGCTAAATAATCTCGTGATGAGAAGAAATTTCTGCCCCTGGTTGTGGCTTGAATGCAAAAGCCTACTAGACAAGGTTTGGTGTGGAAGCTGAAGGCTGCTTCTAACCTTGCAAGCATTTCACATTTTTGCCACCGGAAGCCGCCCCGGGCTCTTCATTTGTTGCTCTGCTTTTTCCATTTCCGTATCAATTCCATCAAATAATCAGATTGTCTCAGTGACAAGAAAATGACTCAGACATTACAAAATAAAGAGCACATCAGCCATAAATCTGCACTTGCTGAATTGCCATCCTTTCAATCTTAATGAGGCAGAATGGTTTCAAGACTGTTTTGAGTGATCTGTACCATTATCAAGATGTTTAAAAGTTGATCCCCAAAACATTTAGTAATTGCAGCTTCAAACTTATCTCAGTCCAAAGTTTGCTATCCAGGTGGCAATTTTTAATGATTAAAAGGCACAGGAAAAAAAATGTTCTTTTTAAGAAGAAATGGCTCATGGCAAAATAAAAGAAAGTCTTCTCTCATGCGTCTGAGCCTTTAGCAAACAGTCTGCCTTTGCCACACAGCACTGTGCTTGGAAATACTGTTAAAGGACTTGGTTCATGAGGAAAACCTACAAAGAGGGATTTCCTCATTCAGGAGAGAGATTGCTCATGAGCAAAAGAATGTTTGGGGACTGTTGGCAGACTGAAGAACTGGTAGAATGCTGGGTCCCACCAGCAGATAGGAGCTCATGCTTCCAACATTTCACAGAGCAACAGCAGAGTGTAGTGGCAAGCAAGGCAATTTTAAGGTGGTTTCTTTTTTTGTTTGATGGTAGTGGTGTTTTTTTGGTTTGCTTTACTGTTTACTAGACTTTTTTCATAATTTCACTTTTCTTCTTTCCATAACATACTGTTCTCTTTCCCCTAGTTGTAGAAAAAATGGACAATGTGACAGGTGGCCTGGAAACATCCCACAGAAGATATACAGAAAAGCTCACAGAGGTGGAGAGTGGTCTGAAGAAATTAGGTAATCCACACACAAGCAAAGCCCCTTTGCATTATGGCTTTGGGTGTTCTCCTGGCAGATAGCGGCAGGAAATTTGCCTGAAAAATCTCTGGCTATGACAAAATACAGCACTTCTATTCCAATTTCTCAAGTACTTGGGAAAGCACTTAAAAATAGTTAAGATCAGCTCTACTTAGGACAGCATTTTAAGCATACTTCAATATTTACAATTCTCACTGAAGTCACTCTGAAATAATTTATACTAAAATAAACAGACACTTAAAGGTTGTCCTCAGGAGAGAATCTTCTCTGAGGTAGAGATGTAAAACATAGCAGAAGCTCTTCCACAGCACAAGAGAATCTACATAAAACGAAAATCTGTCACCCAGTCATCTTGATGCTGTTTTAGCAATTAAGATTCAGAACTGAAGGCCATTTTAAGGGGTGCACAAATAATCAGCTGTTCAAAACTCTTATGTCTGAGGCAAGTTGATTACTTCCATAAAATGTTTCTTAATCATCTCAGGGAATACAGGACACAAGGTTGTTATGAGTTCAGGTCTCCGAAGTGCTATCTGTCACAGTTCTCAATTTGCAGGAAGATGGAAAAAGATCATGGATAAGGATTCTACTCACTAAGTGTCTATTTCTACCTTTCTTCCTTGTCTGGAAAGGAAGCAGAGCTGTTTATTATCAATTTATATACACATAGACTTATTGTTTATATAATCAGTTTTTATATCAATATCAATATACACATACATGCATGTGCTTCTTGTTTAGCTTCATAAACCATATATTGAGATGTGTATTTCTAGGAAAAATGACTTGCTTGCAGCTTGATCATAAATTTTTACACTTTTTCCCCTGAAAAAATAGCTGGATTCTGAAGTATTTGCACACTGCATTTAGTTCAAGGACATGGGGTAATTCATTGGCATGTACTTTTACCGATACATATACAGAAGTAAATATTACATCTTAAAGCACGTGCAACCTTTTGGGTTATATTTGGGTTATTATATTATGCTGATTAAATTTTCACAACTTGGAGCACCTTTGATTCATTCACGACCACATGTTTTTACACGCTGCTGGATGGATGGCCAGTGAGATGCTCAGGACCATCAGTTCGCATTTAAGTGGACTTGCCATGGAGGAAGTTAAAAAAGTTATGGGGCAATGTGTGTGGGAGGCATAAAGGTAAGAGAACTGCTGTAGGGCCAGAAGGATAACAGCATGTGGTGAATGAAAGACAGGCCTTCAGGGATTAGCTGTATGTGGACCTGGCAGTTGTCAGAGCTGTGTGAGGAACACAATATAATTTGAGCTATAACTGAGAGGTAAACATAGAGTCAGAGCTGAGAAGATCCTGGACTGAGACAAGTGACAGGGAGAGGAACTGTGGTCAGGAAGATGTCCATCCATGAAAGACTCCGTAAACATTTCAGACTGAAGTCTCAAGCCACCATTTGATGTTCGCCATCATGACTCATTCAGACACCCCAGAAGAAAGCTCCATACACAGCTGTATTCACTGTAGTTTATGAAAACCATTCTGCCCTCTCTTGGAGCCATCTGAAATGATGGACTTCAGACTGCATAGCTCATAAATGTAGCTACACTTAGATGAGGAAAAAAATATATGGACTGTGTGTAGGAGAGGGAAGTGATTGAGGTCCAGAAAGGGAATCTTCCCTGAAAGTGAGTGTTGACTGCTTATTTCCTTCGTTTCTATGTCCTGGCTGATGAGCTGTGCAGCCTCAAAAGCTTAATCATACTCAGGCAAGCTCCCAGAAGTATACTGTAGGGCAGTGTAAGCAAGAGCAGAGATGTTCCTCTAAGATTAAAGTTTTTGCCTTACTGAAACTCAGAACATGAGGAAACAATAACAGCAAAATAAATGTCATTAAAAGCAATAGTAGTATGTTAGAGAGAAAAACAGAAATGCATCATATCCTGTCATATCTGGAGTAGCCTGCTGGCAAAGCTTTCGTCTCTAACCCAGATTGTTTTAAAATAGGTATTAGAACTTTTTTAAAACTAAACCCAAGATTTAAAAAAATGAAACTATATGTACTAAATCACAATGAAGATATTTCACCTGCCAGGAAAAGGAGGAAGAAAATATGAACAGCTAAAATGTACCTCTGAGCTTTCAGCAATAGCCAGTTGTAACTTCAAAACATAAACTTACTGATACCTCTTTAATATTTTGAATTCTGCTTTCCATTCAGTTTTTATTGAGAATACAAGCACTACCTGACTGTGTATATTCATCAGTTTCTAATGGTAGTTTTTCCTGTATATGACAAAAGAATCACCATTTTGTCCTCCTCAGCAAGACACAAGGTCTTCATCTCTCTGATTTTTTCTCTGTCTAATGGCAGAACTTTCCTTAGTGGTTTCTCTTTTCTTGAATAGATAGCATAGAAGTTCTATTGACAGAACATTTTGACAACCTGACTGTACTTAAAATAGACTGTGCTTTTTTATACTGTGTTTTAAAAAACTCATCCTAAAGGCTTTCAATTTTTTTCCTGTACAACAGATGACCAAGCTGGACAAAAAGCCATGAATACTAACACTGAACTGTCTAGCTTCAGATCTGACATTCTGGCTCTTCGTCAGCAGCTTCATGACATAGCAGAGAAAACTACCAGAAACAAAGATACACTGGAGAAGCTGCAAGAGTCTGGAAATGTATTAGATGATAGACAGAGCCAAATGAGAAGTGCCTTAGATAGTAACTCTTTCATGATCATCAGTGTCAATAAGACTCTTCAGGCTTATACTGGCTATATCAACAATCTTCAACAAGACACAAGTAATATTCAAACAAACTTGCAAAACCAAGTGCATTCTCATAATGTGGTCATCATGAACCTGAACAACTTAAACCTGACACAAATACAGCAACGAAACCTTATCAGTGTCCTGCAGAAGTCAATGGAAGATACAAGCTTGGCTATTCTAAGAATCAAGAATGACTTTCAAAATCTGCAGCAGGTTGTCCTTCAAGCCCGGAAGGATACTGACTGGCTTAAGGAGAAAGTACAAAATTTACAGACTTTGGCTGCCAACAACTCAGCATTGGCAAAAGCTAACAATGATACACTTGAAGACATGAACAATCAGCTCAGCTCCTTCAGTGGGCAAATGGAGAATATCACCACAATTGCCCAAGCCAATGAACAAAATCTAAAGGATCTCCAGGAACAGCATAAAGAGTATGAAAACAGAACTTCTGCCAAATTCAACCAGCTGGAAGAGAGGTTCCAGGTCTTTGAAACCGATATAGTCAATATCATTAGCAACATCAGCTACACTGCTCATCATCTACGGACATTGACTAGCAATCTCAATGAGGTCAGGACAACTTGTACAGACACCTTAAGTAAACATTCAGATGAGCTGATTTTTATGAATAGCACACTAGCCAATATCCGCTTAGATTCTGCATCTCTCAAGATGCAACAGGATTTGATGAGGTCAAGGTTAGATGTTGAAGTTGCCAATTTGTCGGTAATCATGGAAGAAATGAAGCTGGTAGATTCCAAACATGGCCAGCTCATCAAGAACTTCACTATCCTACAAGGTATGCAGCTTCTCTAATGATGTCCATAATGGTCTATGCTGAACTCCTGCTTGCATTACTTCTTTAGTTCTGTGGAAGTTAGTTAGTGCATGCTGGTACAGAGTTTTCCATTATCTAATCCTAAACTTTGGAAATGTAAATGTAGCTTGAATATTCCTTACTAATTTTCCTATGCCTTCTCTACATACCTAGAATGGGGATGTTACACAAGAAGGTTCTGACTTAGCAAAATTTTATTCTGAGTGACTGACTGACTGGATCTGCTTTTGATTTAGTTTCTAAAATAAGCTAGTGAAGGTGTGGAACCTCAAGAAACCAATCCCTGCTAAGGAGGAAATGGCTAAAAAATATATGTTGGACTACTCCCAGAAAGGTCCACCCTTACTGAAAAACAAGTTGCTATTTCACTTTAAGCCAGTTGTTAGTCTGCCAGAAAACATCCTACTTTGCTTAGTTTTTAATCCTGGGATATTTTATTTTCTCCAGAAATAAATAGCATCAAGCTTAGGAGGTTTCTCCCAGCCAAGTATTATCCCAAATGAAAAGAACACTCATATTTCCAACCTGATGTGAACCATTCAGGCCTAAAACTCTAATCACAAATATAAATCCATTGCTCCAAATAGACTAAGGCTGAATTAGAGCCAAGATTACAACATGTCAGTAACCTTAACCTTTCTCATTTCAACCAGGCCTAAATGACTCCAGTTTAGGAATTTATTTCTGGAGGAGTTTAAATTATGTAGATTGGTGGGATGGGGGTGGTATTGGTAAGGCATTTGCTCATCCATGATCAGAATCCAGAATTATTTTGTTGCTTATTGGTGTCACAATATTGCCATTTCCTATTGTGGGTATTGTTCTCTTTCCTGTTATAGCCGGCCAGTTAGCAGCTAGTACTTCTGATCTTTCACACAGTTGGCCTATTGCTCACTATCCATCGTTTTGTCTCTTTTTGACAACCCATTATTGACAGAGCAGCAAACAGTGTCACTGCAGGAGAAAGAGTCCTGTAGTCTAAGAGCGGAGAGATGGGGCTAGAAGTAAAAGGGAGCGCAGCAGAGTGAGGGAACGGGAGCATGGACATGCAGGACCACGTGCATCAGCAGCATGGAGTGTGTCTTGCAGGGACTGGCGCCTCGGCTGGTCACCTGGGGCATGGTGTCACTGTCCAGTTCACAGGACAGGGTGCGTCAGATTATTTTCTTCTGTATCCTGTATTTCATGGAGGCTGAGGAAAGAGCAATGGTATATAGTGCCTGAGAAGCAGATGTACTTTTACAAGCGATGCTTGAAGTAGCTGTTAGGCCGGTTTTCACAGTGCTGAATATCCAGTGTTGCTGGTCTGAGATATATTAAACAAAGACCCCACATGGGCTTTTTGTTTCGCTTTCTGTCTGTATCCCCACTTTGCATGCTTGCATTGTTTCAGGCCCTCCTGGTCCAAGGGGACCTAAAGGTGACAGAGGCCCTCAAGGTCCTCTTGGCCCCGCTGGCCTAAAAGGACAAAAAGGAGAGAAAGGAGAGCCCGGACCACCAGGACCTGCAGGTGAAAAGGGCCCACCTGGGCCAACTGGGCCACCAGGAGAAAAAGGAGGGAAAGGTTCAAGAGGATCGCCTGGCTCCAAAGGTCAGAGAGGTTCTCCTGGCAAGACAGGTCTGCCTGGACCAAGCGGAGACCCGGGGCCACCAGGTCCACAAGGCAAAGATGGTCCACCTGGGCCACAAGGCCCACCAGGATTTCAAGGCCTGCAAGGAACTGTGGGAGAGCCAGGGGTACCAGGACCTCGAGGACTACCTGGGCTACCTGGAGTCCCTGGGCTGCCTGGTCCAAAGGGCCCACCTGGCCCACCAGGGCCACCAGGTCCAGGGATGCCAATGGCACTACAAAGTGAACCTACGTCAGTGCCCGAGGCTAATGGTAAGCTGTCAACTCACCACATGCATCTTTTACTGAGATACAAATATATGTAGCAGAGGGAGCTTACCACTTAGTTACTGGTTCAAATAACCTCTGCTACCTTAGACTAAGTCTCTGGGTTTTATCACAAAGAGCCCTGTTAAGTGAAGCCATACCTGTTGGTCTTCCTTCTGATGACCTGAAACTGATTTAAGATAAAGTTTACGGCTAAAGAAAAGGCGGCAGTAGTATAAGTAATAAATAATCCCCTTGATCACACAGTTTAGCCTTGATTTCACAGAGTCAGAATCCTAATAAGTAAATTCCCAAATTGTATGTAAGTACTTTAGGTGGCAGCATGCTGTAGATGAGCATGGGATCCTCCAACTTATTATTCGTCCTATGCAGAAAGTTACCACTGACTCATTGAGTTATCAGTAACTGGCTTAACACAAAATATTCACCTCACAGGTTGTTCTCCTCATTGGAAGAACTATACAGAAAAGTGCTACTACTTTTCAATTGAAAGAGAAATTTTTGAAGAGGCAAAGTTATTCTGTGAAGAGAAGGCATCACGCTTGGTTATCATAAACAACAAAGAGGAGCAGGTAATTACCTTCTCTTTCTGTTTTTCAAGGAGAGGGGTTTGAAGTTACTTAACATGTGGAAGCCACAAGGCAAGTGGGAAGCTGAGAGCATTGTGAAGTAGACACAGTGATTCACTCCAGTTAGCATTTTGTCCACTCTCTGCCTGCTCAGCAGCTTCTCCATGTGCAGAAGGGCAGTGTGAGCAGAGCTGGTGCTGACCCTGAAGGTGGTGGGCACAGAGCAGCCAGAAAGGCTGGCAAGAATTGTGGGAGTTTTGAACCTTTAAAGATGGAGTCCATTATGCCTTGCATATTATCCAAAATGTATTTTTTGCAGTGGTGAATATAATTTAATTTTAAGTTGTCTGATTTAATACATGCAGCCTAAGACTACTGTGACCCAAAAATATTTTTAATCTAACTATAAATCTAGCTATACTTTTACTACTGTTCAACATAATTATTTGGTGGCTACATAGCAGTGGGGACGTCAAGATACAACTGCTTACTCTTTGGTTTTTTTTCAGTTTCTATCTATAGTATGTTGGTTGTGACTTTATGTCAACCTAATTTTCATGCCTAGCTCTCTACCTCACATACAAACACTGCAATGGATTCTAGTGTGGGCAAGGGGTCGCAAGGCCAACTCCTGAAACATATCTTCAGCTTAGAAAAATTTCTCTGGCCCTTCCTATTCTGATAACAAAGATGCTCATGAAACCAGAGTAGCTTACTGGCTCCAAAGACGGTTGTGTTTATTTGTTATGGACTAAGATCTTTCTTCCACAGCAATGGATAAAAAGGCAGATTTTGGGGAAAGGCAGCTTCTGGATTGGACTAACGGATTCAGAGAAGGAAAATGAATGGAGATGGCTGGATGGATCCTTACCAGTTTACACGTACGTAAATAAAAAACAATGGTGTTTATTTTCTGCAGATGTTACCACTCTTGCTGACACTTCTAAAAGCAGCATCTAGAAATTATCCAATGCATCCAGAGGGTTGTAGATGCCAATGAAATAATTCGTTACTGAGGGTGCTGTTGAACTGTTTTTTTCTCTCTCCCTTCTCCATGCACAAGGCTTTCTTTCCTTGCCAGGAAGAAAACTGGATGTTGAATGAAAGAATCACAGAACTACATAGCACAGTGTTTCTTGCCAAAACATTTGCTCCTGACTTTTATTACAAAGCTGAGATGGAAAGCACAGACCGTTTTGCTGTCTTGGTTTGAATTTTCCTTATTTGCATTACAACTGGCTATAAATAGTGCTCATTCTGATAAAAAATGACCAGCCTTTAGATAAAGCCCAAATCCAAGTGGAAAGCATTAAACATAAGGCAAATGCATGAAACGAGGGTGTCTAAGCTTTTGTCAGCTGAGAACTGAATTGGCAGCTCTCCAGGAATCCTAGGGCTACACCTAATTTGTCCTAAATGGAACAGATTGCAACCACCCAAATTTTTAAGGAGTGGACTGAAGAGTTTATAGAGCTGAGCATGCTGTGCTCCAGAAAAACAGGCTACAGTCAGTCAGATGTTACGAAATGATTAGCTGTGATTTCATTGGTGTTCATTTTGATGAGAAACATGGAAAAAGTCAGATGTATTTCGAATGAGCTGTAATATTTTTCCCTTTTTCTCCCTCCCCATTTTCATCTTTCTTTCTCTCTATAGCAGCACTGTGACTGATTCCCACTTCAGCCACTGCTTTCAATAGGATTCCACTACACTGTGAGTTTAGGTGCCCTGTCGTAACCTCAGAGCTGTCAGTTACTGATTTTCAAAGTATTTCATTACTTCTGGAAGGCTGTGTGTCCTCCCAGGTGCCTGGTCAGATGCTCTGTGTCAGGCAGGCATGTTTTTTAGCTGAGCATGGACCGTATCAGCCAGCAATCACAAGCTCCCTTCAACAACCTGTTTCTTCACAAAAATGGAGCTTTTAAGTCCCAAGGTTGGAAGCGTTTCACACTTGTTAAACAAAAACAGGATGAGGAAACACTTGCTGCAAGCTCTGTACATGCTGTGTTAAGTTTCACCATCAAAGCTAACGATCTCAAAAGATAGGTGTATATATACTTTGTACATTCCTTTTAAGTCCAAAAATTCACTTCCTATCCAAATATGGGTCCGTAAAACAGATAAATCTTTGCTGTGCCTCCCGAGAGGGCCGCCTCAGCACAGTCAGAGGGCTGAGCACATTTGCAGTGAGCGATGGCAGGGTGCTGCCATCCTGGGTAGCACTCGTGAGCCTGACAGCTCTTCTCAGTCTCATCTGCCAGCAGGAACGCAGTGCGCAGGCTTTGCAGGATTGGAGCAATGCACATGGAGCATGGAGCACTCCCACTGTATGTGCAAGTACATTAAGAAACTAAAATAAAGTTCATCAGTCTAATTTTAGGTCTCTGAGTTTTGGCAGCCCAAGGCTGAATAGATTCCCTTCTCTGTAATACATCTGTTTTCCATTTTGAGCAAGAGTCATGTATTGTTTGTTTCAACATGTATTTCCCGTTCAGAACAGATCTCATGATGTTTTTGTTAATTTCTTGCGGTGAAAAACTGTCATGTGTACTGCGTTGTGCAATCATATCTCTTGCTTTTTGGTTGAAAGAAACTGGAAAACTGGGCAACCTGATAACTGGAGCCATGGGCACGGGTCAGGGGAAGATTGCGCCGGGTTAATCTATGCTGGGCTCTGGAATGACTTCTACTGTGAAGATGTTAACAATTTCATTTGTGAAAAAGGCATGGACAAAGGTAAGCAAGACACTTGGTTTGATGATTTCACCCTACCCCTAGCAGGCCAAATTCAAGTAAATTTTCCACAGCTAGAGGGGAGAAAATCCAGGCATAAGGCTAGATGCTGTGGCAGTGCCTTTTTGAGGAAGCGGGGCAATCACGCTTGGAGCACTTGTACTCAGATCCAGCCCAGCGTGGGCTTTTCTAATGCTCTGCACGATGCAGATGCTGGATTTATTACAATAAATCTTGTTCTCTTGTGCTCTTTCACCACAAGAAATGAGCAGCCTTCAAGCTGGTTGTAGGCATAGCATGCTCTGCATCTTGACCATCTCCTGTAGACTTCAAACGCACCTAAAATCTCAAGCATGATTTGGCACATGTGCTCCAGACCCTGGCCACACTGGAAGCTGTTTCTATAGGCTCAATGGACATGCAGGGGGGAAAGCTTGCCTTAGGATGGCTCAGGGACCAGCCTTTGAAAACCAAAAGGACTCTGTTTTGAGAGTTGTGCAACAGGAGGCACTTGGTGACTGCTAAGGAGGCCTTAAAATTCCCACTGTTGCCAGGAGATGTCCCATAGAGCTAAGAGGCTGGGTCTACAGGCCATAAGCAACTCATCTGTTGCAGTTGAAGTGAAGGACTCGTAAGCTGCCAATGTTGCCAAGCAGTCACCCAGGTGATTGCCATGGGGCATCTCTTTCTGGTTATACAGGTATTTCTGCAATGGCAGAGGGCAGGTCATAGAATCATAGAATCATTAAGGTTGGAAAAGACCTCTAAGATCATCGAGTCCAACTGTCAACCCAACACCACCATGCCCACTAAAC